ACGTTGTCTCAGTGGTATGGTTGCGACATGTCCAGTTTTTCCAAAAAAAACAGGCGACTACTTGCTTGGAAGTGCTTCGTGCGCGGACAGCTTTCGTTGGATTTGGCTCATTTTGAAATACCCATGCGGTCGACTGCTAATTACTTTCGGGCTCATGCGCGTAAATCCATGATTCATCACCTGTCGCGATGTTATAGACGTGTTTCAAAGCACCGCGATCGTATTTTTGAGCATTTCGTTCGAACAATCGACACATCGACACAAGCCTTTTTTTGAGCCATTGTGGATCCAACGTGAACAAATTTTCTTACAGATAAATGTTCATGCAATATTGAATGTTTGCCGATCCCTTTAATACCTAAGGTTGACGGTCGACAAGCACTGGTCCTTGATGGAGCTTCATCGCCAAAAGGGGAGGGGAGATTAAAGGGGAATCAGGTTTGGCCTAAGTGGGGGGTGGGGGCGCCAAGGGCCTGAGTAGATTTTTTAGGTTAGTGTAAACAACACAAAGAGCGCTCATACGTCAGTCTGAGCACGTATAACCTCAAAAATGTCAAGCTTTACGATAGAGTTGTCAGTTGCCACATTGCAACAGTAGGGTTGCTCAATCCCGAAATATAAAAGGCAACCCTAGTACAGAAAGTCATTTGTCTATCTGCCTAGCTATCACATTAGGCAGATTGTTTATTTCGTTCCTCCAGTTCTTCTTTCCGAAATTCGACATGCCATATCGTCGCTGGAGAATTGTACGGTGCACGGTGCACGGTCTCGGTAAGATTCAACCATGATATTAGAGAGCTTTCCACCAAGTATCGTCAGAACATCGGCTAGACTTTTCACGCGATACTTGTCGGAATGGAATGTACACACGTTGCGAAAAACTAGCAGGACTGTGTCGTTATTTAAGAAGGGGGATCCCGATGATATTTGCATGTATCGCTCGATCTTTCTGCTGTCTGTGATTCATGTACTTTCACAAGAGTCGTCGTAAACAGGATTGAGAGAGGAAGGACAGCCATGCGAGCTAACTGGGTTCCTAGGAAAGTTTGGTATAATTGGTCACATCCACACTGTCACAAGACTCATTGATGTACCGCGAGAACACAGGATCCCGTCACGTCGGACGTTCATCGATTTTGGGAAGGCCTTCGATACTGTCAAGACAGCAGGCAGAATTGAAGCCCTGATCAATCAACGTGTTCCTAAACAGTACTAAGGATGCCTCGCCAGCTCTACGACAACATCGCGACCAGCATTCCCCTTTTAAAGGGAGTAATTATCAACTTGAAGAAAGATTCAGAAGCCCAATACTAGCTCTTCCGAACATTTCAGTGCCGCTCTCGAGAACATCTGCGTTATTTGAAAAGGGAAGACTCGCGAGTGAAAGTAGACAGCCACCGTTCACGCTGCTCTGCTTTGTAGACAATGTCGTGCTTATACCGCCGAACATCGAGCTGTCGGATCAAACATTGGCCGACTTTGACAGCGCTTTTGGAAACATTGGCTCAAGGCTGAATCTAACGAAGACGATATTATAAGAAACGGATTGGTACCTGATGCTCTTTTTGCGTTAAACTTAAGGAATATTCCTGAACGCTACGTGTGTCCAGGTGGAGAAGTCAATGTTATGAAGGACCTAGCGGCGAAACCGTGCAGATGGCAACGTGTGGCGTCGGGAGTATCCAAGAACAGGGAATAATGAAGGGAGTGATGAAGAAGACAAGAATATCCCTCGCTCGCTTTCTCAACAATGCGATCTTTTCTGCTTCAACATACGCCTAAAAAACTTTTACTGTACAGAAAGAGGATGGACATGCAGTCCAAGTAATCCAACGTAGCCTGAGGAGGGGACGATGCTCATACACACTGAAATCCCTTACACACTCAAACACAGCACGAAATTCGGAGTTCCAAGCTCCACCAACGGTCGGAAATCAATGGTGCCCTGACCGAAGAATCAATCGTCGGGTGGGCTGAACACGTCATTCGATATAGTGATGACCGTTAGACCGCGACGATTATTGACCGGATCCCACCGGACGTCAAACGACCATCAGGACGGCGGCCAGCGCGATGGTCAGACTTCTTCTCGGAAACTTTAAACAGAAGAATCCTTTCCGTTCAGAGCTTTGCCCCATGTCCCCCGAGCGGAGACAATCCACTGGTCTACTTCGACTCGCGACAGGACGAAGAGACGAACTGGCATGTTTGAGGAAATCGATGATTAACGGGA